TTAATTATGTGCCAAAAAAAAAAAAAAAAAAAAAAAAAAAAAAAAATTATTAAGCTGTAAATTTATTACTGTCTTTTTTTTTCTTTTTGCGGAATATTATTTAACTTATATTTTTAATATGCATAATAAATAATAATAATATTTTTCTACATAAGAATAAAAAAAATTAAAAAAATAATGGTAAAATGGATTTCTTCTCCTATTTTAACCAAATATTTTTATAAATAGATGTAAATTTAAAATTAAAGATATAATGAAAAATGTATGCTTTTGTTTAAAGTTTTCTCTAAAAAAAATCAAGTCTTTTGTTTTTAAAATAGTAGGAAAGAAAGGAATAACGCTTATTATTATGGGAACTTCCTTTTAAAAATAATTAAATCTTTTTCTTTTTTAGAAATTAATTTTTACAAATAAATGTTAATTATGAGAAATAAAGTGATAAATAGAGAATATACAAGATTTTTTTTTTTTGTTTTTGTTTTTACAAAAATAAATTTAAAAATAAAAGAATACAAAAAGAACATATTATTTCGTATAAAAAGATGTCTAGAAGAAATACTAAAAGTATTTATCCACTTTAAAAATTAATTTTTTAACTTATATGAGTAAAGCCACCAAACATAAACTTATAAAACTTGCTAACATCCTTATTTAATTAATAGGTTTATCCTTGTTTTTTTTATATTATATTTATGTATAAATTTATTTATTGGTTTGTTTATCTATTTTTAAATTCTTTGATTAATTTATTTATCATTTTGCTTTAATTTTTTCAAGCGTTATGTTTCTGTATTTAAAACATATTAATAAATGGGAACATTAAGCTATAAAATAAATTAACCCAAGCCAAATAGTTGATATATAATAGCAGTAAATAAAGTTAATTTCTTATTTAAAAAATTTATTTTTTAAATTATGTATGGGTATTTAAATTTTTTTTAAATCACTTAAATAAATTTCTAGTTAACAGTCTTTCCCTTCTATTATAAGATAAATTTTTTTTTTTAATAATAGCTCCAATAAAATTTTTAACGTTTATGTGGAGTAATGCTATATATTATCATTTTCATTCTTAAATATATTTTTAATATTTTATTTAAATTGAATAAATTTAATTAATTCTTTTTTATTTTTCGCATATTTAAATGATGCGAAGTTCACAGAATTTTTTTGACATTTATTTTTTCTACATGAAAAAGATTAATCTTTAATAAAAAAAAAAAAAAAATGTATATATATATTTGCTTGTTTGCTATTAATGTAAAAAATTAAAAATATATTTAGAAAAAGTCAAAATAAAATTGATAAAAAAACTTTAATATTTTAAACTTAAAAATATATTTTTATGAAATAAAATTTTATAATTTAAAACTTCTACGAAGATATTAAATGAAAAAAATTAATGATTAACATATTTATATATAATGAAAACAAATCAAATCAAAAATTTAAAAAAAATATACCGCCATATATTAAGTGAAGCTTCAAAGTTTGAAAATATAAACTATAGTGTTTATTTTACCAACAAGGTATAACAAAATATGAAAAATAATTTATGAAGAATCTATTTTACTATTTTTAAAAAGATTTATTGCAAATGTCAAATTAAAGAAAATGAAATAGATATATGTTTCTATTAAATATATTTTTTAAATTGGACAAAAAAAATTTAAAAAAAAAACTAATATGTATTTATATATATGCAAATATTTTTATTTTATTTTTATTTTTTAAGGCAAAAGAGAATTTCAGAGAATTTTTTAGTAATAATAATCACAACAGCGAAAAATTAAAAGTATTTGAAGATGAATGTAATGATTATCTTAATATGTTAAAAAGACAAACTATAATACATAATTTATACCACGTTGATAAACCTTTAGTTTATAAGTAAAAATAAAGGACAATATTGAAGGATATCAAAAAAATTTTTTTTTTTTTTTTTTTTTTTTTTTTTTTTTCTTTTTTATAAATAGTTTTGAACTTAAAAATTTCAAAGGATAAAAAAGTAAAAATTTTAAACAAAACAAAAATAAATAATATCTACTTATAAAAATTAAGAGAGAAAAAAAAATATCATAATTTTATAAGTAAAACAATCAGGAACAAATTTATATTCATTAAAAAAAAAAAAAATTTTATGAATTGTTCATATAAAAGTATATATATATATGAATATATATGAATATATATTATTAAAACAACATGGGAACTGGGCAATAACCTAAACCCGGTGCTGTTGGATTATTAATTGTATATACTCCTTTTTGATAGCTTTCTTTAACTCCATATGGCCATGAATTAGATATTTGTGGTTTATATTCCTTTGGTAAGGCATAATCTGAAGGTGGTTGCTCCACAGGGTGTCTAGTGTATCTTATTGTTTGTCCTTTTGAATCTTTCATTGGTCTTGGTCTATATTTACCTTTCCATAATTTTTGTCTAATTAAAAATTTACATCTATCACCATCTACTGCTGCTGCATTTATTGCCCTTGATCTGTCTCTTGAATCAGGTATTGCAAATAATATGCACTTAATTTTTAGTAAATTACAAGTATGTTTATATAAATCAAAATCAGTTTTGTATAAATACTTCATTAACTTTTGTCTTCTAGCCAATAATATAGACATAGTTCTTTTTTTGGGATGATCTTTGCATCTTTGTATTAAATGAGCCCGCAAGTTTAAAATTTTTTCTGTTAAACATCCAATTTGAACAGCTGCACTTCCCGTATCAAATGGCCTTCTTTGTAATAATCTTCTTATATTTAACTTTTTAAATTTATGTATTTGCTTATTATTTGCGCAACTTAAATGTAGCATACTTTTGATATTATCTTTTAAATGCTTTATATCATCATATTGCCAGAGGCCAATATACCCATTAGGTATTTGGTTTCTTTCAGCTAAAAAATCTCTTTCTGCTTTTAAATACCATTCCGTTTTTTGAGCATGAGTTTTTACTGCCGTTATACCAGTGTATCTATGAGCTTTAACTCTTGATTCATATCTCTTGGAACTTTTTAAAAAACCTATATCCTTTTTCTTAAAATGCAAGAAACTATTTATCTTAAACACTTTATTAAGAAAACTCATTGTTTAAACCTTTTACTGTATTAAAAAAAAAATAAAAAAAAAAATATTTTCATAAAACTCCTTTTTTCTTTTATAAAGAGTTATATTCAAACGAAATAATTCTTCTGCATGAATATACATGATTTTTTTATAAATTTATTTACAACATCAAATTTATAGGTTATAGTTAATTATATAATTATAAAATGCTCAAAAAAAAATCAAGGGTACATTTTTATATGTGTATACAAGTATGTATTATAATATTGCATTATTATATATTTAACTTTATAAAATGTTTACAAAAGGTATAAATTAAATTCTGATTTAATAGTGTTTAACATACTTATTTAGTTTTAACATATAAATACTATGCAAAACATATAAATGCATATTATAATTTTCTAAATATTCTAAATTTTTGGTAGATTATTGGAATTCATTCATAATAAAATCATTATATAGGAATTTTAAAACATGTTTACTCTATAAAAAATATATACATAATTAAAATATTCTTGTAAACTAAAAATAAAAATAGTTAATTATATATTCCAAACAATTATATAATTAGGGGAAGAATAATATAAAAAAAAACATATATATATGAAAAATTAATATTTCTACAATATTACTTCTGTATTTTCTAATTTATATAATTAAATATTAAAAATAAAAAGTAATATTTTAGCATTTTATTTATTTTACACTACCTATTCAATGTAATTAGAGAAAATGTTGAGAAAAAATTAACTATTAGCAAGTGTTATTTAAAAATAATTTTAATAAATATAATTACTTTCTCATTAATACTGCGTTACCTACTTAATTTTTAAAGGGATATTACGTAAAAAAAAAAAAACAAAAAAAATTAATAAGAGATAATTTTTAGCTTGTAAGATTTTCTTTTATCTCATTTATTTTACTAATTTAATATGCCTGTAACAGAAAATAAAAACAAAATACAAAAAATTAAAAATGTTTTAGCTAAATATAAATAAAGTTCAACTACTATTTGTGTTACATTATTAATATTACAAAAAGAGAAAAGAAAAAATTGAAATTGTAAAAAATAAAAAGTTATAAAAAAATATGTTAAAAAATGTAAAACTTCAATAAAAAAAAAAAAAAAAAAAAAGCAAAGTTTTACAAAATATTTCTTTTCTCTTTTTATACGAAAATTTTTTTTTTTTTACAAAATTTAAAAATTAAAAATTATAAATAAAATCTTCATCTTATATTATTTGGCTTTTAAATATAAACATATATTCATAGTTAAGCAACATTTGTTTTATGCTTTCTATTGTATGCCTAAAAAAAAAAAAATTGGATCAATGGAAGATTTAAAAAAGACTTTTTGGTTAATAGAAGAACTAATTTATATTAATTTTGAAAATGAAGATCTTTATAATAATAAAGAAAAAGAGATTATAAAAAATATATCAATTTTATTTAAAAATTTCTCCAATGAAAACTCCACGGAAAACTTAAGTATAGAATTAAATGAGAAGGCATTAAAAGAAATAATTTTAGAAATTACCAATTTTTTTAATGTCTTAAAGTTGGTAAAAACTGTAAATCATAAAAACTGTATAACTCATCCATGGGTTTATGATATATTTAAATTTATTAAAGAAATAGCTAAGAATGATTCAGTAGTTAATATTAACCAAGTAAAAAAAGAAGTTTTCGAATTTTTTTTTAAGGAAAAAAAAAAACAAATTATAAAATATAGGAATAATTTTTTCTTAAACACATGTTTTATTTTCATTAATGAAATAAAAATTCTCTTATGTTGTTGTATTCTTTTAAATATTTTTGTTCAATATAATTGGACAGGCCCACCATTAAATTGTGATTTTAAAAAATTAAAAGAACAAAAAATACAAATAAATGACTCAGATAATTATTTTAAAGAATTTATGGATGCAATAAATATTAAAAATGATGAATTTTTAAATTCATGTTTGGAATTTTTGTCACTAGAAGGGGAATACATATACGAGTACAGCGAGTTAATATATTCCTTTTGCATGTGTATAATTTTATTAGGCATAATAAATAATTTTAATGATGAAGATCAACATATGTTTAGCCTAAATGAATATAATTATTTTAAAATTAACTTAAATGATCCAAGTAACAATAAAATAGTTCATAGTATATCCTTAAAAGAAAAAGAAAATAAAGAATCTAATAATATAAATACTGAATGTATTACTAATCACAAAGACGAACTACAAGAAGATAAAATAGAAAAAAAAATAAAAGAAAAAAAATATGATGAATTAAAGCTTCTTTATTTTATAAAAAGTAAATATTTATGGAAAGCAAGAATATATTTTATATGGCAAAGATTATTTGTTTCAAGTAATGATTATTTTTATTTTTTGAAAATACATATAATTGATAAACCATTTAACATATTTAAAAATATAAAACTATTACCTGAAGAATTCGAACTAATTGAGCAAGAAGTAAATTTAAGGGCAATAGATATTTTTGATCATTTAAATGAAAATATGAAAGACATAGAGCATTGTGATTTATTTTTTGAAAATTATATGTCCGAAAAGCTAAAAATTTATTTATTATCAAATTTTTCTATTTATCTTGCTTTTTATAATTATACCAGTGGCTACAAGAAGATAATGGATATAATTTCTGAATTAAGTCAATTTCATTATTCTTTTACAGGTCGGATGGGTATAAAAAGAAAATATCAGAAAATACCAGCTACCATTTTGGTATTAAAAACTAAATTAAAAGATGAGGAAGATAATACATCCACTATTTTAAAAGAAATAGATCCATTTAGTGAATATGATATATTAAAAAGTGATTACAAGATTATTGAAAATGAAACAAATGAATACTTCAATAAATGCAAAGAAGAAGAAACAAATGATTTAAGAAGTGAAGATCATAAAAGTTTAAAAAGAGAAGAAATAGATAAAAAACAAAATGAACAACAATCAGAAAATAAAGACAGTATTAATATAGAAAAACTAAATGAAGATGAATTCATAGAAGATGTTTTTTTTTGTAAAAATGAATTAAATAATAAAAAATTAGGAGGAACATGCTGTGATAACAATAATGCAGACAAAAATATTTATAAATGTCAAAATGGAAAATTAGAAATCACGAATAATAATTATAAAACAGAAAATTGTAGTAATAATAGCAATAAAAAAAAAAATAATGACTATAATTCTATTAATGATAAAATGCCGTTAAAAAAATATGTTTCATTTAAGGATGAAAAAATGATTAACATACCTGAAAGGGAATGTGAAGAAAATAATAATGTAGCTTTTATTAATATAGATAATAAAAAGGCTGAAAATAAAAATGATGAAAAAGGTAAATATATGAATAATTCTGAAGCAAATGATTCAGAAAAAGAAAGTAGCAATAGAAAAAAGTGTCTAGAAGAACCCAATGGAAAAGTTACATGGAAATTGAAAGATTTAGATCCTGATACTGATATATTAGAAGAGCCCTTTTTCGTTGATTCTCAGAATAATTATTTTAAAATTTTATCCTTTCAGGAACAAATAATTCTAATTAATTATTGTTTTTCTTTGATTAGATTTAATCCTCATTATGATGAAATTAAATTTGAAAAATTAAGTGCAGTAATATCAAGATGTTTAAAATGCTACGATGTTAACGCTACAGTTGAAAAGGAAAACGAAGGTAAAAATAATAATTATTTATTACAAATAAAATATCAAAATTGGCTATTGCATTCCTGCATTTTATGGTTTAAATGTAAATATGAAACATTCAAATTTAAAACCGTTGATAGGGCAGCAGCCCAATTAAATGAATTATTAAAAGAATGTTATGAACTGGAACCAAAAAGCATAGAAAGACTAAAATTTATATATGATGTATATTATCCAACCACATGGGAGATGAAAAAAGAGATAGGTAAAGTTATGATTAAAATTGGTTCTATGATTTCAGCTTTTAATATTTTCAAAGATTTAAAATTATGGGAAGAAGCTATTACATGCTTAATTGAAGCTGGTAGAAAAGAAGAAGCGAAAGAATTGTTAGATGATATAATTCAAAAAAAAAGAACTCCTGCTTTATTATGTTTATATGGATTAATAGATAGAAATAATGCCCTTAATTATTATGAGGATGCATGGAATTTATCAAACTTTAAATATTCAAAAGCAGCTAGGTTCATTGGAAAATATTATTATAATAAAGAAATGTATAAAGAATGTTGCGAATATTTAGAAAAATCTTTAGAAATATCACCATTGTTTTCAGATATATGGTTTATACTAGGTTGTTCCTATATGAAAATAGATAAATTTGATGAAGCTATAAAATCATTCACTCGTATGATTAGTATGACAAATGAAAATTGTGCTAAATCATATGGAAATTTAGCTTACTTGTATATGAAAAAAGGTACATATAAAGCAGCAAAAATATGTATAAATCAAGCTGTAAAAGTTAATAATAATGAATGGAAATTTTGGGATACATATTTAAAACTATCAATTTTACAAAATGATGTAGATAGTTTCTGCTTATCCATAAGGACTTTATGTCAACTAAATCAAGTAAAACAAATACAACCTTGGGTATTTGATTATATTTCTGATCTTATAGTAAAGGATAAGCCAACTTTCATTCAAAATAAAAATGGTTTAAGCTATTTAGATAAAATGATTACAACAATGGATAATTTATCTATATATATAACAGAATATGACTCTTTTTGGAATGCATATTCATTTTTTCTTTTTATAAAAGGGAAGTTTACTGATTCGTTTGATACAAAAATAAAGGAAATACGATCTATAGAGGTAGGTTGAAACGTAATTTTTTACTTAATATGTGAATTAAATTTTGTTCTTCACAATTTTTTTTTATTTTTTTTTATAGAGTATAATACAAAAATGTAATACGAATAAAATAATTGAAGCAATGGTTTCCAAACAAACAGCTGCTATAAAATTTTTATATCACATAATAAAAAACCATGATATTGGAGAAAAAAGAGGGTATAATTAATTTATTTTTATTAAAGTAACAAAGCTAAAATAATCCATATATATATATAAATTTTATTTATTTTTATTCTTTTTTCATCTTTAGAACATTTATATATCAATTAAAGAACATAATCGAATCAACTTTAATACAGTACAAGAACATCAGTCAAGAAGATGTAAAGGAGCTATTAGAAATTAAGAAAATTATGAATTGAAGAATTTGTTAGAAAAACTAGTTCTATTAAACGATTTTTAATAATTTTAAGTTAAATTTAATTTCCAATTTTGTAAAATTATAAATTTGTGGAATATTCTATATCTTTATAAATATACATTTATATATATACACAAGACTAGAAAGTATGTTTGTCTTTTATTTATTTCATTAATGTATAATGAAATGTTATTAATTCTATATATAAAATAAAGAATCATCAATTTTATATAAAGATAATTACAATTGTATTTGAAGCATATTTAGCTTTTTTTTTTTTTTTTTTAATATATATAAAATTTTAAAAAGTTTTATATATTGATATATTTTTAAATTATATAACTTCATTGCTTTAATATGTAGAGACTTAGTAATTAAAATCTTTTTTATTTAAATCTTAATTTTTTAAAAAAAAATTTATATGTTAAATATGCAATAAAGCTATTTTTTCCCAAAGTCTTTATGTATTTTAGCCGAAACAAAAAAATAAAATAAATATGAAAACACTATTCTATAATCTGGAAAAGAGATTCTCTATTTTTGCTAAAATATTTCATGCTATAATTTTTAATTAAAATTATAGAAAAAAAAAGTTATATTCTAGTTAAATAATATTATTGCTAAAGCTTTTAAACTGCAATTTTTTACTTAAGCCTTTAAATTTTTTTTTTTTTTTTTTTTTTTGTGTTACAATAATTTTTCTGAATTTAAAGGAAAAAAAAAAATTATATTCAAAAATTTTATAATAAAATAAAAGAATATTTTTAAATTATAACAGAAAAATACAAGTAAAAAATAAAAAAAAATATTATAGCTCTTTTTTTTTTTTTTTAAAATACCTCGCTAGTTGTGTGTTACAAATTACATTTAAACAATCTGAACAAGTTATGTTGCAATTTGTAGCTATTGTGTTTAATTACGCACACAAAAAATCAATATTTTAAATGATTCATACAATTTTAACTTACTGATTTATTTATTTATTTTTTTTTTTTTTTTTATTTAATTTTATTTAATTTTTTTTTTTTTTTTAAATTAAAAATTATAAAATAAAATTATAAAATAAAATGATTTAATCTATATTAATTACATATAAACGTACTGAACTAAAAGCGAAGTAAATTTTAATTTTTTATTTCACGTGTGCATATGAATATGAAAAATAAATAAAAAAATTAATAAAAATAGCTATCTCATTGAAATAATATTCATTTCACGTACATAAATATAAAAAAAAAAAATTCACTTTTATGTTATTTATGTATATGTGGAAAAATTAATTAAATATTTTTATTCTATATTTATTTATTTATTTGTTTATTTTTTTTTTTTTTTTTATTTTACTTTATATTTTTAATCTCAATTTAATGTATTAAAGAAAATTTATATTATCTTGAATATTGAACAACTTAAAATTTATTTGTCTTTTAATTTGCAAATAAGCACAAACTTAAAGCAAAATTTTAAATATTTACTTATTAAAATTTATATAGATATAAAAATATATATAAATTAAAATCTTAAATTTTCCTTTTTTTTTTCTGTTTATTTATTTTTTGATATATTTTTTGTTAAAAATATACACATTTATTTCATTCTTTAATTAAAGTAAAAATGATTTGTTCACAAACTTGTGCAGCTAACAATACCTACATACCTTCAAAGATGGAAACATTTATTACAAAGGCTCCACATGAAGTTACTTTAACTGATTCCAACTCAAGGTTATTCATAAAAAACATAAAAAATGGAGTTACTCTAGAACAATTTAGACATTCTTTAGAGAAATATGGCACTGTAGAAGTATATCTATATGAACCAGGAACTAATAATAATGGATGGGCCTGGGTTGGTTTTGAAAATGAAGAAGCAGCACTTAAAGTAGTTGAAGAATCAGAAAAACCTAATGACGAAGAAATTAATGAAAAGGAAGGAAGCGTACATAGTCGTGATGATGAAAAACAAGATTCAAATAGTTTTTATGAGGAAAATGAAGAAAATCAACAAAACGAAGAAGAAGAAGAAGAAGAAAACGATGATTAAATATTTTTGAAATACTTTACATGAGACCAATTGAATTTTTATAGAACTATATATTAACTCATTTACAAAGCATTTACTAAATAAATACCTATGACAAAAATTTTTATTTTATTAAAAATTAAATTATGCAGAATTCATAAAAAAAAATATAAATATTTTTTTTTTTTTTTTTTTGTATTAGTAGTTCGTTAACCTTTTTTTTTTTTTTTTTTTTTTTTTTTTTTTTTTTTTTTTTTTTTTTTTTTTTTTTTCCTTTTTTTTTTTAAATTTTTTTTTTTTTTT